CCAGGATAATGATCAAATAGACCTTTTATCTATAAGAGGAAATCAAGTTACGACGACTCAAGCTAGTTGGCATTATAAGCCTTGTAATTCCTCCATTGAATGTGTGATGTAAAATAAATCATATAGTGACGCAGTTTCAAACTTTGTAGCGAATGCAGGAAACATGCATTCCTGGATTTCTAGAATAAAAACGTAATGACCCTCATTATAATAAAGTAATTTGCGATTTATTTGTTCGCCCATCTGCTTCTGTCATTTTTATCTCCTTACCTTCCATAAAAAAGAACCAGCTTGCTGTCTTTCTCGGCTTGTCATTGACTACGATCGACTAGATTCTTAAAATTATTCACTCCCCCTTTAAATACTGTAAGCCAACAACGATGAATTCAGCCTCGTCCTGGCGCACTTCTTGGCCTTTCCTCTATATGTATCTAATCCCGTTCACAGACGCCTCGATTCTCTTGGTTCGCACCGAGAATCAGAAATCAGACCGCAGGATACAGGACTGGACTGGATAAGCCGCATGACCCCTGTTTTCTTGGACCTTCTAACAAGGAACCACAGTGAAAGACTATATGATCCCGAACACATAAATGAGCCTACTTTCATTTCATGTGCGCATTCCAAATCGTCGAACTATTTTACTACGAGCTCGAGCGACGACGACCCATTTTTGGCGCCAAATTAAAAGGGAGACACTGAACGTTTCATATTTTTCGTTTTACAATCCGATATGGTTTTTGAAACTATAAATCCCTTTTCGTGAATATTCAATGTCGCACAGTTATGCCGTACCCAGTGAGAAAAGTTGCCCGACTTCAATGCCTGTCCTGTTTTAATACATAGACTGACGTTAGGACAGTGAAGGTTTTCCCGTCTACTGAATCATGATTGGTCTATTCAAATTTCAGGTGCGCCAGTCGTACTTTTTCGAGGTGGAGAGAAGACCCTGGACACGAGGTTGTTCTGATGGATGTATTTAATCAGTCAGGAAGTCGTAGGCAACAAAACAGAATCTAAAGAAACCTGACGCAAGTAGCTTACCTTTAAAACGAAGTCCTTTTACTCCCTGTGTAAAAGGGGAAATGAAAGGGAGGCAAATAATAATAAAAAGGAAACCCGATCGATAGATCTGGTCGTGTTACTTTTCATATATTTTAATTTTTTAAACTTAACACGGTACGTGTTAAAACTCCATACTCCAGAAGGAAAATATCAGTAAGAAATCCTAGAATACTTGTACCTAAGACATGACAATTATAAAGAAACACCACTGGGAATCATTTCATTTTTTTTAAACTTCCATTTTTTTTTAACTGGAATTTATTCAACGCCTCCTTAGAAGGCGTTAGAATTTACCTACAAAATAAGAACATTTTAAGAATTCAAAAATCGTAAGAATGTAACGTACGCAGAATTCAATTGTTATCTCGAAAAAAAAAAAATAACAACAACAACAATCGAGGAGTGCACAGATTAACTTGTTTAGTCCACGATTTACTAATTTTCAAAATACAACATCGTATTTTAAGGCTAATTTTATCAAATAAAATCTTCGAATAACTTTGCTTCATACACCTTTTTTGTACCATTTAGTACATGAATTCATCTTAAATCTATGTCGCCATTTTCACAGAAATCGAAGTCAATTGTTCCCTCGACATCGAAGAGATTTTTTGAGCGAATTCTCTCATTACCAATCGGTTGTTTGTCTGGCGCACCAGGATTTTCTGAGGGAGCGGTTTTTTCATTACTGTCTCTATTCACAGAAGAGCTTTCGCCATTGGTTGTAGATGTAACATCTGAAACGAGAAAACAAAATGCGTTAACTGAACGGAATGTTATGTTCTTATGTTACGTTACGTTACGTTACGTTACGTAACAAAATACCGTACAGTCCAATCCATTGCAATTTATTGATGGTTTCCAACCAATCCGGAGAGATTAGGCCTGGCGGCCATATTGGATGACACAAACAATGTTTATGTCAACCAATATGGCGACGATGACGTCATATGAAAACAAAGATGTTAGAGCCATTGGAGGAAGCCGACTTTTCAACGTTCAGTTGGCCATTTGCAAGTTGCCTTTTGCCTCTGTGTTAAAAGGAGTCTTCGTACAAAACCATTCATATGAAAATGTGTTCCCTTTACAGGTTCTCTTTCATGCAAATCAAACTCATTATTGCACGAGGACCCGACCTGAAACAGAGGCAAAAGGTAGCTGGGAAATAAAGAAAGAAAGAAAGAAA